CGCAGTAATTGGTCTCCAGAGGAGCGGATTGACCCCCCCAGTGAAAATCACAGTAAAAGGCCAGACTGCACCAACAACCTCACCATCTAAACTCACCACAACCTCCCTAAAAGGCCCGTTTCCAGGCGTACCGCTAAGATTGTTTGCAGCAATGTACTCATTCGGAGGATTTGAATACCAAAACTCATCATTCTCATGAAATGAAACATACACCTCCAACACAGCCCTATAAGCATTCTGGGGAATCTCAAATTCCTTCAACTGCGTATCAGTCGAATTCTGGATTTCAAACCACAACCCATCATTCAAAGGCAGACTTCTCGAAATGGGCAAGATCAAATCCGCCCAAGAATGGTACCCAAAATCCAAATCTTCCGAATTTCCCAACTTTTGCTTATAATTATAATTGAAATTCTTCTCAGCAGGGTAAAAATGGATGCTAATATTCACATGGTAAATCCCAGTATATGTTTTATCTACCACATTCCCAAGATAAACAGCTAGTGTTTGATTGTTCTGAAGCAAAGAATAGTACCTTGTGATGTCCTTCTCGACAATCCAAACAATCCCATTCTGCGTCGGCTCAGCCGTGCAGCTCCTGAGAAGCTCAACACCACCCAGCCAAACCCCAAAAATCCGATCATATTGTCTCCCTTTGCAGGTGGCTTTCCACTCGAGGACAATTTTGGAAAATGATTGAGATGGGCAATAGGAGGGAGGTGTGTAGTTAGCAAAGACCGGAGGTTTGCCGTATGTGTACCCGAAGTCGTGCTGGAGAACGTGCTGGGTGCAGGGCTTGGTTTTGGGGAGTTCTATGGGTTTGGTTACTTCGAAGAAGAGAGTTGGTGCGGCATCGTTTCGAGGGATCGGCTGGGAGAGGAGCTCGGATCGGAGGAGGTTGAGTTTGTGGACATTAGCGGCAGAAAAGAGTGGTTGGTAAAGGAGGAGGAGGAGGAGGAGGGCCAACGGAGAGCCCATGAGTGACTGATTGGTGGTCGAGCTGTCTGTTGCTTCGGTGGGTTTTGCTTTATTTTGGTGCTCTATTTATGTATTTATTTATATTTCTTTGTTTCTGTTTTTATTGAGTTTCTTCGAGTAGAAAAAAATGGTGAGTTTTTCTTGTTGGAGAAGACAATGGTGAGTTATTGATTCTATAAACTAAATTAAATAATTTTTTGACTGTGCTATTTTATTTTTTTGTTCCAAAAAAAAAAAATAAACTGGAGTTAAAATCTTTGATTCTAATTTAATTTGTTCGAAAATCGTCAAGTTAGCCATTTTTATTTGAAGTATTAAATTAAAATTTTCATTTGCAAATAGTTTTTCGAATTAGTAAATAGTGAGTACTTGATTGAAATATTACCAAATTTCTAATTCCAATAATAAATACATTAATCAATTGAAATAATAAAGTGAGAAATAGAAATTGGAATGTCTTGGAAAAACATTGTGTCATATAGTTGGAGAGAGTGGACTGTCGCAATTCAAGCGAATCCAGAAGAATTCTATGTGGCCCAATATCGTGAATAAGGTAAGGTTTTTATCACAAATTATTTTTGAAATGAATCAAAATCATCATTTTGGTACCTTACTTTCAAAATCAATATGTCGTCACTAACATTCATTATCGCACATCAATTTGATCATTCTGTTAAGATTCCGTCAACTATTTTGTTGGTTTGGACGTGGGACCCACAAATCCAATGAAATAGTGACATGTGGATTACACAACATAACGGTTTTTATTGCAAATGGTGTCTGACATTAATCCAACTCCTAATTTTATTGCAAATATACATTTTTATTTGAGGTACCAACAAACACGAACCCTCCATAAAATTTACCAAAGGAGTCCTTTTCTGCAGCACATGAAGATGCATCGATACGAATGAGCTAGGCACCGTCATTGTTCTCAAGTAAATCCGGGACCAGGAAAGTTCCTTTGAGCACCAAAAGGCCACAGCCTGCTTAAGCCAAAATCCAAATTAGACTCCGGTTTACTGGTGCACGTAAGCCTCACCTTATCATAGAGTATGGTGTAGTTTGAGCTGCTTATGTTTCTGAAATAACAAGATTGGGGACCATCGAATCTATACACTTGCTGTGTACTCCCCAATCCCCTAACTAGCAGATTGTTTTTTACAACGATAATAACCTCGGCAATCTGCAGATTTCGGAGAGAGCTGTTCAAGAATCGTGAACCAGCACTTGCAGACTTCTTCTCAATAAATCCCAATTCGACATTTGTAACGAATGTATATGATTCATTTGCTTGTTCCAAGTAGTCAGTGTACAAGTAAAGAGGAAATGTTTTGTTTGATGATATTGAGTGAATACTGGAGGATGGCGGCCTGATATTGACTGTATCGTTGAAATGGATGGTCTGATTCACTATCTGTGTATTACCATCATTCCTCATGACCATTGTATTACGGTAATGGAAGTCTTGAATCGCATCAGTTGTGACATTCCCATAGGAGGACTTCACCCATCCAGTCGATGACACAGACCTGCCAGCCATTGTCAAAAATGTGCCATTTAAACCCTTGAAATCTGAAACCAATGAAACAACAAGGGGCAAGCTACTATGCTTTGAAAGCTCTCCTTCAGTTTTCGTGCTCTGCTTGTCTAACCAAAGATGCAAATTCGCGTCAACATACCAAACATTCAAGGCATTTGTAACATTAAAACCAAACTTGTGGCTCTTCCCATCCAATATCTTCCCTAAAAAGGGAGTGATTTCAATATCATAAGAAGGGAGATCGAACGAGCCAATTGCAGTAATAGGTCTCCACAGGAGCGGATTGACCCCTCCAGTGAAAATCACAGTAAAAGGCCAGACTGCACCAACAACCTCACCATCTACACTCACCACAACCTCCCTAAAAGGCCCGTTTCCAGGCGTACCGCTAAGATTGTTTGCAGCAATGTACTCATTCGGAACATTTGAATACCAAAACTCATCATTCTCATGAAATGAAACATACACCTCCAACACAGCCCTATAAGCATTCTGTGGAATCTCAAATTCCTTCAACTGTGTATCGGTCGAATTCTGGATTTCAAACCACAACCCATCATTCAAAGGCAGATTTCTCGAAATGGGCAAGATCAAATCCGCCCAAGAATGGTACCCAGAATCCAAATTTACCAAATTTTGCTCATAGTTATAATTCAAATTCTTCTCAGCAGGGTAAAAATGGATGCTAATATTCACATGGTAAATCCCAGTATATGTTTCATTTACCAAATTCCCAAGAAAAACAGCTAGTGTTTGATTGTTCTGAAGCAAAGAATAGTACCTTGTGACGTCCTTCTTGACACTCCAAACAATCCCATTCTGCGTCGGCTCAGCCGTGCAGCCCCTGAGAATCTCAACGCCGCCGAGCCAAACCCCGAAAATCCGATCATATTGCCTCCCTTTGCAGGTGGCTTTCCACTCGAGGACAATTTTGGAAAATGATTGAGATGGGCAGTAGGAGGGAGGGGTGTAGTTAGCAAAGACCGGAGGTTTGCCGTATGTGTACCCGAAGTCGTGCTGGAGAACGTGCTGGGTGCAGGGCTTGGTTTTGGGGAGTTCTATGGGTTCGGTTACTTCGAAGAAGAGAGTTGGTGCGGCGTCGTTTCGAGGGGTGGGCTGGGAGAGGAGCTCGGATCGGAGGAGGTTGAGTTTGTGGACATTGGCGGCAGAAAAGAGTGGTTGGTGAAGGAGGAGGAGGAGGAGGAGGAGGAGGAGGAGGGCCAACGGAGAGCCCATGAGCGACTGGCTGGTGGTCGAGCTGTCTGTTGCTTCGGTGAGTTATTGATTCTATAAACTGAATTAAATAATTTTTTTAGGGCAGTTCCACTGTGGGGTTCCACTGTGGGAAAGGCCCCAGCCTATCCACTATTTAATTCATCTAATAAACAGTAATTGCTATTAATAAACAGTAATTATTTTTTGCATCTTCACCCTTACACTTAAATAGCCCTAACAATAGGTAGATGAAATAATAGTATTTTTTGTAACTTGCTTGGAATTTCCCATGCACTCTCCACTCCCTCACGTCACTCCCTTTCTTTCCACTCATCTTTCTCACTTCTCTCCATTTTTCTGAAGTTCCTCTATCTCTCTCTCTAAGCTCTCAACACTTTCACTCTCTCTAGAGCTTTGAGAGCTCTCACCCACTTTCCTCTAAACAAATCAAACTCCAAAACCATGAAACCTTAATCTCTGGGACTAAAGGATCCTAGCTATACCGTTGCATGCGTCATCGGACCATCACGGTGTAAACCACCATTGAAGCCAAGCGCTTCAAGATCTGAAACTCGGTTCGATTTTTTTTCGATTTTTCGATTTCGGTTCGGTGTTCGATCCCTTTTTTTCGGTTTTCGATTTTTTGAAGCCACCCCTACTCATCTCTATTAGAAAGATAGTACAAATGACAGGCTAAACTACAGTGCACTCAAAATTGTAAGGGTAATTCATCTACTTTTTTAGTCTTAAATAGTCCGGTTGGCTTGAACGAACTGGAGAAAGAACCAGGAAAAGACCGCCAAAATTGTGTCACGTTTCTCTAATTTTATGTTTGGATAAAGGACTTTCAAGGTCTCGTTTAAAAAGTTCTCTCTAATATTATAGCATCTAGTCATTTTTGAAGTTTCTCCACCTGATTTTATGTAGTGCATTCCTAAGTAATTTAGTCTTAAGCTCAATCAACTCGTTTTAGCGCGTTCAAAAAAACCATTGAAAACCCTCCCAATGACTAAGGAGTTGGATTATAACAGCTTTTGACATCTGGTATCAAAAAGCGTTGGGCGGCAAAGAAAGGGGTTGGAAGTCTCATATTGGGTTCAACCGCGGAGCTAGGAATTTATATTAGAGTGGGCTAATATTTTACTTGTCTTGTTGCCCGAGTACATTTGCGTATTTTTTTCCTACCGTACCTGCCTATTGAGTTTTGAGTCGAATGTTTAGTGTTGTGGTATGAAGGTCTTGTACACAGGTCTATATATACATATGAAAGAAATAGAACGTGGAATTGATAAATGATCTCTCTCAATGACGATCCATGAAGACTATGCCACATGTATCGATCAAACCAAGACATGATATACATCAACAAAGTCAACACAAATCATATTGCGCCTCATCATATCAGTAAAACATCAGAAGACTTAAGTCAAGCAAATTGATCCCTAGACAACATTGTCGACCTCTTCACAAAGTCACTGTCAAAGTCTACCTTCCAGATGCTTGTTTGAGAAATTGGTATGCTTCGACCATTTCGGTGTGCCAGAAGTAGCAAAATACTGCAACCTATGTACAGATTTGGTTTGTCAAAACCTCTACAGCAAAATACTGCAACCTACATACACATTTTGTTTGTCAATAACCTCTACTTATGATCCTTTATAGGTCTTCTTGTGAATAACAGTCTTTGAATCTGAGTTTATGTAATCAAAGGATGATATCATTTATCGAACGAATTTGACAATGTAGAATTTTTTTTTAAATTTTTTATCAAGCCTTTAGAAGCTCAATCGATATGAACACCTTAACTAGATTCTAGAAGATGAACGTCGATTATACTGAGATAACACAGGTTGACATGATCCAGTTTTCAGAAATCAATCAATTCCAAGCAAAACCATAACCATTTTAATGTACATACCTTAACTAGATTCTAGAAGAATATCCACAAAAATAAAATTAAGTACAAAATACTTACATTTTTATTTGAGGTACCAACAAACAGGAACCCTCCTTAAAATTTACCAAGGGCGTCCTTTTCTGTAGCACATTAAGATGCGTTGATATGAATATGCTAGGCACCGTCGTTGTTCTCAGGTAAATAGGGGACCAGGAAAGTTCCTTTGAGCACCAAAAGGCCACAGTCTGCTTAAGCCAGAATCCAAATTAGACTCTGATATTTTGGTGCACGTAAACCTCACCTTATCATAGAGTATGGTGTAGTTTGAGCTGCTTATGTTCCTGAAGTAACAGGACTTCCCACCATCGTATCTATACACTTGCTGTGTACTCCCCAATCCACTAACTACCAAATTGTTTTTTACAACCATATAACCTTCGCCATTCTGCAGATTTCTGAGAGAGCTGTTCGAGAATTGTGAACCAGCACTTGCAGACTTCTTCTCAGTAAATCCCAGTTCAACATTTGTACCCAACTTATATGTTTCATTTGCTTGTTCCAAGTAGTCAGTGTACAAGTAAAGAGGAAATGTTTTGTTTGATGACACTGAGTGAATACTAGAGGATGGCGGCGTGATTTGAACTGTATCGTTGAAATGGATGATCTGATTCACTATCTGCGTATCCCCACCATTCTTCATGACCATTGTATTACTGTAATGGAAGTCTTGAATCGAATCAGTTGTGATATTCCCATAGGAGGACTTCACCCATCCAGTCGATGACACAGACCTGCGGGCCCTTGTCAAAAATGTGCCATTTAAACCCTTGAAATCTGAAACCAATGAAACAACAAGGGGCAAGCTACTATGCTTCGAAAGCTCTCCTTCAGTTTTCGTGCTCTGCTTGTCCAACCAAAGATGCAAATTCGCGTCAACGAACCAAACGTTCAAGGCATTTGTAACATTAAAACCAAACTTGTGGCTCTTCCCAGTCCAATATCTTCCCTAAAAAGGGTGTGATTTCAATATCATAAGAAGGGAGATCGTATGAGCCAATTGCAGTAATAGGTCTCCACAGGAGCGGATTGACCCCTCCAGTGAAAATCACAGTAAACGGCCAGACTGCACCAACAACCTCACCATCTAAACTCACCACAACCTCCCTAAAAGGCCCGTTTCCAGGCGTGCTAAGATTGTTTGCAGCAATGTACTCATTCGGAGCATTTGAATACCAAGATTCATCGTTCTCATGGAATGAAACATACACCTCCAACACAGCCCTATAAGCATTCTGCGGAATCTCAAATTCCTTCAACTGTGTATCAGTCGAATTCTGGATTTCAAACCACAACCCATCATTCAAAGGCAGATTTCTCGAAATGGGCAAGATCAAATCCGCCCAAGAATGGTACCCAGAATTCAAATTTTCCAAATTTCCCAACTTTTGCTCATAATTATGATTCAAAATCTTCTCAGCAGGGTAAAACAGGATGCTAATATTCACATGGTAAATCCCAGTATACGTTTTATCTATCAAATTCCCAAGATAAACAGCTAGTGTTTGATCGTTCTGAAGCAAAGAATAGTACCTTGTGATGTCCTTCTCGACAATCCAAACAATCCCATTCTGCGTCGGCTCAGCCGTGCAGCTCCTGAGAAGCTCAACGCCTCCGAGCCAAACCCCGAAAATCCGATCAAATTGCCTCCCTTTGCAGGTGGCTTTCCACTCGAGGACAATTTTGGAAAATGATTGAGATGGGCATTCCGAGGGAGGGGAGTAGTTAGCAAAGACTGGAGCTTTGCCGTATGTGTAGCCGAAGTCGTGCTGGAGAAGGAGCTGGGTGCAGGGCTTGGTTTTGGGGAGTTCTATGGGTTTGGTTACTTCGAAGAAGAGAGTTGGTGCGGCGTCATTTTGAGGGGTGGGTTGGGAAAGGAGCTCGGGTCGGTGAAGGTTGAGTTTATGGACATTGGCGGTGGAAAAGAGTGGTTGGTGGAGGAGGAAGAGGAGGACGAGGGCCAACGGAGAGGCCATGAGTGACTGACCGGTGGTTCAGCTGCCTGTTGCTTTGGTGGGTTTTACTTTATTTTGGTGCTACTATTTATTTGTTTATTTATTTACTTATTTTTTTTATTTCTGTTTTATTAAGTATCTTGAAGAAGAAAACAATGATGAGTTTGTTTTGTTGGAGAAGAAAGCAATGGTGAGTTATGGATTCTATAAACTGAATTAAATAATTTTCTAGATGTACTAATTGATTTTCATTCTAAAAGAAATTTAAGTGAAATTAAAATTCTTGATTCAGATTCATTTCGTCCGAAAATCATGTAGATTAATTGTTTTTATTTGTTGAAAAATCAAATTTAAATTTTCATTTGCAAATGGCTTGTACGAATTTGTAAGTAGTTGATTAAAACATTACCAAATTTCTAATTCCATTAATAATAAATACCATAATCTGTGTATAGAGAGTTTAACAAACTAGTCGGGCAAGCTAAAACTTTTTGAGTGGCGCAAGAATCATCATATTTTTCATAAAATATATCCCATTTCATTACATAAACTCTCAGATTTACAAATTATCTGATATTACACGCAATTAAAGAGTTCGATTCAAAACTGATATTTGACCAGAGTCGCCATTCAATAAGAAAACCTCCAACGGAACATAAGGAGAGGCGAGCGACGAACCAAATCTGTACGTAGGTTGCAGTATTTTGCTACCTTTGGCACACTGAAATGCTCGAAGCCTTGGTCCGGTCCTCATCTGCCAAATCTGCGTGACATTGCCACAAATATTAATAGAAATTAAGTGCAGGTTTGATCTTAATCACTTGAATTACTATCTCATTATTGTAAATACAAGAACTATATAAAAAAAAAAAAAAAAAAGAGGAATTTTAACGAAAAGCTTCCGGTACTGTTCACTTTAACGAAAAACCACATTTTTACACTAAAAAGTCAATCATGGTACTATTCACTTTGCCCTTTATTTGTCCTTATCGTTAAAACTCAAAGTTTTTAAACCATTTTTCATTAGTTTTGGATGTCAGACAAAGGAGATGTGGTTCCAGGAGGCAATGGTAAAAAACCTACCTCGACAATTCCTTTTCGAGGGGCATGAATAGCCAAACACAGGCAGTAATCACTCTTCGTGGGTTCATAATACCTAGAACTGGAAGCTGCAGTATCTTTTTTGACGAGCATCTCCATGAATAGGCAACTAGCATCCCGATATCCCTGCAAATCAACTCATACCACCATCAGGGAAAAACAACTACATCAAAAATGAAATTTTTTACAATCAATGTAATTCAATGTAAAGTTTCTGTGAGAAAACCTTCCACAGCCGCACTATCACAAGTGCTTGAGTATCTAAGAGCAATATTCGACCAAGTGAATCTGTAATCGCAGCCAATGTACCACTAGGTGATAACGTAAGCTTCTCACCCTTTCTTGGGAAATCCTTCAAACATGTCAATGGTGAAGCTGTCACAAATCATATCAAAAGTGAGCGGAAAAGAGTTTAAATGCAGTTGATTAATGATTGGTAAGTAGGCCTCCAAATCCACGAAGAAAAAATTCAATATTATAATAGTACTTAAGACCTTAGGCCTCGTTTGTTGTCTAGGATTGGATTGGAATCGATCCACTATATGAAGGTATGTTGAAGAAAGAAACGAAAAAATTGTGTCCACTTGAAGGTAGAAGATGGATTACTCATTAAGAAAACTTATTCATTCCACTCCTCCCCAAAATGGTAGGATTAGAAGGGATAAGTTTTCTTCATGTCTAATACCCTTCAAATCGCCTCAAATTTTAAAATCACCCACGACATACCCTGAATTTATGAGCCAAGCCATTCAATCCTAGGCACCAAATGATCCCTTATGGTTTAATTCCATTTGAGCTGACAATAATAACCAAGTTGTATCACTCATCTCCTTAGACTTGATTGAATGTTGCACACACAGAGGAACTGAAGTATGTACTTTTAGTTCCATTACCAGTCCAAAAGCATGCTCGTGCATATTTAAAAATTTCGTCTTATAAAAAGTTATTGTTATTTATTTTGATACCATAGTAGTAAACTTCCAAGAGCCAACAAAGTATGGAAAACACAAATAGTCATGCAAGTAGGGGACACGACCACCACAGACAAGGATGCAAGGGAAGTAGTTACTTTCAAGATGAGTTACCATTTCTCTGTTCTTTGTACTTATAATCTCGTCCTTCTTTCATTTATACATTCGAGTGAAAAACTACACAATTGTACTTAGGCAACAATCATAAACTTTAAGTTAATAACTACAGTAAATTAATCTCACCTCGTGCAAATGGTTGAGGTTTCTCCTCTGATTTTTTAGGTGAACCCTGGTCACTCCGCCAAATCATTTTTGATAATGAAGCGATTGTCGAAAATGTTGCAGGCACAACTCTAGACAAGATTGCTCCGACCAAAGACCTATTTTTGTCTTCTGAAAGCCTTTACATGGAGAAACAAAATGTAGTTAATAAATATGAGCACTCTTAAGTGAAACAAATATAAGACTGCACTTAACACTAAGTGAGAATCCTGTCAGTTGTATCATCCCACCACACTAACCTGAAGGCTGAAATCACGGCATCCTCTCCAACAGTTATTCCACAGTAATAATGTTCACTTGACTGCCCAACAATAAAAAGCAGCTGAATTCAAATCCAGAATAACTTCAGAAGGTTTTCCATGATTTATAGGGAAAAACACCAGAAGCATTGCTATCAGAAAAACTACGAAAAATTGATCATCTCCTTTTGTCATGTTTTGGATGCAATGTGTGTTTTTATAATCTTTCTCCATTTCATGCAATTAAAAGAGAAAGCATCAGAATATTTAAATAAGCAGGGTGAATATACCTGGATTTCCATCAGTGGCGGAGGCATAATGCCAGTAATTGCTGCATCAGCACAGGTACCATACTTGCTGACACTCCATAACTGGTAAGGTAATTTACCATAGGAATGTCCAAAATCATCTGAGCCTCGCTTTTTGGGTGTTTGATCCCAAAAACGAGACTGTGTATCTTGAAACCACTGGTGCAACATATTCTACATTCCAAGCATGTAAAAAATATTACGAGAACCCACATTGATTGAGCTTCTAACGCTAGAAGCAACTCCAAAATTTAAACCAGAAAATAAGGGGGACCTAAACTTTTTCCAAGTCTCTGCCAATAGACATCACATACAATCTTCTTAATTAAAACTTATCTCTACATTACAAGTGAAAGTATGTGAAATTACAGCTAAAACTCTTCATAATTCAAGACACATGCTTCATGCTTCATGCTCAAAGATGACATTACTGCTAAAACTCTTCATAGCAAGGAATGACAAAACAAAAAGTTTCCCTACCTGAATATCCGAGCCATCAAAACGAGCAACTATGCCAGGCATAACGACACAAACCTCCTCTGAGGATGTTTCATGGGTCAAGTCTCTCTTCGTTCCACGGACCCTCAACCTTATAATCCGCACAGGATACACCATCTGTAAATCCACAAACACATTAAAGTTGCATGACCAAGAGCATAACTCAAGTTTCCAACAGACGATGTACCATAAGTAATCATAATGGCATATAAACAATCATATATGCAAAATCTAAACTAATTAAAGTCAATAACTCAACAGTTCAATAATCAATACCAGAAATAACCACAATGACATACAAAATCGTTGCGTTTACTAACTAACCCCACGTGCAAAAAGTCTAACAAAACCAATAAAATTCACATCATTCTAAGAAAAATGCTCATCTAATCAAACCCAAATCACCAATTTAGCAGCTTTACCTGTCTATGAATCAAACCGCCACCCAAAGAGAAAAAGAGGAGATACCCAGACGAAGTCCCGGCCACAACCACCCTTATCTCGTCAAACACCAACCACTCCACCGCCGTGACGAACTCCGCCTCGATCGGGGACAATTCAGGTCGGATCTTGAGCCGGGTCCCGTCAGATTCGGACCAACCGAGAACCACAATAACGGACCGGTTGGCGAGCGCGATCGAGTGGGTATCGAGGGCGCAGAGGAGGTTGGGGTTGTCGACGAGCCAGCCTTCCTTTCCCGCCCCTAGCTCGCCGAGCTCCTCGCAGGCTATGCTGCCCAGCTCCGTCGTATGAGTTCGCTTCATCATGGTTGATTGATTGGATCGGACTCGGAAATGGAGAAGAAGGAAGACGAAGCAACAGGTGGAGATCTATAGGCACTAAACGGCACCGTTTACCCGTTTTATAGTAAAATGTTGGAGTGCACTAAACGGCGTCGTTTATCCGTTTACTCATCACTAATTAACGACCGAGCTGGTCTGATCCTCCGAGAAATCGAAAATGCTGAGTAAAGACCCCTCCCTCTCTAAAACCCTAAACCCCTCTCTCTTCCTCCTCACGCCATTCTCCAATCCTCTCCGCAAAACCCTAACCCTAAAACCCTTCACCAGGGCCCCCAAAACCCTCTCCATCAGCTCATCCTCCCAATTCCAGCTAAATTCCGACCCCAATTTCACATTTTCCCGCCAAATTCCCCATCTACGGCGGGACCTCCGCTCGTTCGCCGGCCGGAGCAAGAAGAAGGCCGGAGGCGGACCGTCGCCGGGCCGAATCGAGGGTAACGCGGATTCTCGCCGGGAGGTGAGGGAAAATGCTCGCCGGAAAAGCAAAAGGCTCGCCGAGTCCAATTTCTATCGGCTCAAGAACCAGAGCCGGAAGTACGCCGATAACTTCACCGAGGACGAGCTCCAGCAAATCGGGCTCGGGTATGACCGGATGGTCCGGTTCATGGAGAAGGACGACCCCAATTTGCGCCACCCGCATGACTGGTACAAGTACGGAGAATTCGGGCCGTATTCCTGGCGCGGGGTCGTCGTCGGCCAACCGGTGCGGGGAAGGTTTACCGACGAGAGGGTGACGATTATTGGGGAAGTAAAGGACCAGGAGGAGTGGGAAAAGATTGAGCAATTTGAGATGAGCCAAGATTTTGGGAAGAGATTGGGGCAATTGGATAGAAGCAAAGGGAGGAAGTACTTTTGGGTGTTTGTGAGGCACCCGAGGTGGCGGCTTTCGGATTTTCCGTGGCAGCAGTGGACTTTGGTGTGTGAGGTGGTGGTGGAAGGCGAAAAGCAGAGGCTGGACAAGTGGAGTTTGATGGGCAGGCTTGGGAATTTGACTAGATCTTTGATAACAAAGTGTGCAGCTTGGTTTAGACCCGATATTATATATGTGAAGAGGCCAGTTTATCAGTGTAGGTTCGAGCCTCAGGACGATTTTTTCAAGGTGTTGACCCCATTTCTTGATCCGAAAACGGAGGAGGATTACTTGTTTGAGCTGGAGAGAGCTGATGGGAGTGTTGAAATGTGCACTTACTTTGGTGGGTTGTGTAAGATTGTGAAGGTGAATCAGAAGGCGATTGTGGATGATGTGGTGAAGGGTTTTGAGAAGTTGAGTGATGAGGAGAAGTCAAGGTGTTTGGGGTTTTTGCTGAAGAATCATCCGGTTCAGTTGTTGCATCCGTATACGAAGGAGTGGAAGGCCAAGTTGGAGGAGTGGGAGTTGGGTTGTGATGCACCGGATGATGATAATGAGGGCAGCGGCATCAATGTGGCCGAGAAGGAGTTTACAGAGTGGGTTGAGGATGACGAGGTTGATAATGAGGAGGATAATGTTGTTATGGAAATGGAAGATGGTGATGAGAGTGAATTTGAGGATGATGATGAGGAGGAAGATGACGGAGACGATGAATTGGGAGTTGATGCGGAAGAGTTGAGTGAAGAAGAGGATGAGAAGTACTGGGAGGAGGAGTTTGAAAAGGCGGTGAGTAGCTCGGATGCAATGGAAAAGCTAGCAAAACAGAGTGTAGAGGCAACTACGGAGTACTATAAGAAGCAATTGAGGACAATGGAAGGGTACAAAAATCAAAACTTGGAGGACGACGAAGATGGTGATGGTGATGAAACCGCCATGAGGGGAAAACGACCGACAGTGAGTGCTGAAGAATGGAAGGTAGCTGGCTATGGTCCATGGAGGAAAAGGATCAAGAAGAGTAAGATTCCTCCGCAGCTGTTTTTGCGAGCAGCGGTTCGACCCTTCACTTACAGAAATCTTGTGAAGGAGATAGTTTTGACTAGGCATGGAATTGTGGATGGTGATTTTTGAGGAAAGACTTGAAGAAGCATTTGCATTTCTTGAAATTTGCCTCTTGTTCGGATGACTGTATCGACTAGTTTTTAGCACATTGCAGAGAGTAGATGTATCTTACTGAATCAATCTCAATGAAATTTGATGTATTTAAAATTCGTTGAGGCGCATTCTGCCCAACCTTTGAATCAATTCTTGCTCCACTATTATTTGGGGGTTTTTTTTTTTTTTTATGAGAAAAACCACCAAGGTGGGAAATTCTGCTGTTTGGTTTGTTGCGCGTTTAGGAAGATGGGAGGGCTTCTTCAACACTGCAATGCAATATTAAAGACGAAGTTTTCAATGGATGAGTTTCTTATTTGAAAAAAGCGTTTGTCTTTTAGTGTGACAATCGCACCGCTGCGTTAAGATTAAAGAATACAAATCTAGAACTTGCAAGGTTTCAATGGATGGCTTGATGGCTTCATCCTTCAGAGGATCATAATATCCAAAAATATCTAAAATACTCCGCCACGACTTCGAGCCCTTAGATCCAATACAACGGATTCACAGAAAATTGGACGACCAATGGATTGGATCTAAAGAGATCTTAGTGGCAGAGTATTCAATAGCCCGGGGTATTATAGCTTCGCTGTCATATCTTGGGGTGAAAAAATCAAATCAATCTTTCATTCAAAGCCATTGAGATGTGACATGAATGTAAAATCGACCCCCTTCGACGTCTTACAATTATTTCTAAAATTTACATATATTAAAAACCGCCAATGATTTCAACAGCCAGCCCATGACAAAATCATACAAAAGCAATATTTACATAATAAGCATCGTCCAACCAAAACTGAACCGTTGAAATTTCTTATGTAGAGCGGAGAACACAAGGAAATCTCCACCGGCACCAGCACCGGCACTCTTTAAATATAACATTAAGAGAGAAAAAATCAATACAAAAGAAATAACCTTTACTCACAAGCCAGTTTGGTGCCAAAGCTGGTAAGGCAAATAGCAAATGCCTGGAAGGCTGACAAGGGCTGCCTATAATCCATGGTAAATGTATCATCACCAACTTTCCCGAACTGGAGAACCGTTTCTTCGTCTCCTTTCCCTCCTGGCAGGCTTGGGTCCCCAGTTGCAACCAGTTGAAAGTTCTTTACTGATGCCACCGTGACCCGACCATGGAAATTCAAACACCAGCACTGCAACTGATCATGCCATCTTGGAGCTTTGTTCCTCAAGACAGTGTAGCCGTAACTGGTAGAAGCTGTTTTCTTCAACTTACATTTGTCCATGGGTTTTTCAATGGCAGTTTCATCTGATGGTGGGCAATTAAGCGGGCAAATCATCCTTCTTGGACCTCTTGATTTTAGAAGGTTGAATTTGTAAGAGACCTGCCCAACTTCAAAGTTGCCTGCCGGAACTTGGGGGCTTATTTGCTTGCTTGCAAAACGACGGGTAGACCTACTGCTTGCAGGCTTTGCACCACTATGCGGTGGCTGGCTATCATAGATTGTAAAATTGGTGCCCAGAAAATCTGAGCTGCAAAAGTTCAAGAAATCGTGTTTAACATTCAAATTTGTTCTTGTAATCCAATGGAATGCAAATTACTAAAAACTCACTACCAAGCTGGCTCTGAATTCTACAAAATGAGGATAACATGTCAGCCAAACTTGGTAAAAAACCTCTCACTGACATACCGAAAAATGGTCCTCTAACTTAACTTCCTTTCACAAAAAAGTCTTACCTTAATTTTCCTACATAAGCATTGCTTCCTTGGGATATGTCATCAGCATCAAGTGATATTATATACTCGGTGTGTGAGCCATGCCTATATCTCCGTGCAGCTAAAAGAAACTTTCCCTTATCGGTGAATGCTGGACGAAGAGAGGAAAAAAATTGCATGAGAATAAGAAACCATTCAACAATAAGCATCACGCAAGCTGTCAAGAACCACTAAAAAAAAAGTATCAAATAACACAATAGATCAACTGCATACAATAGGAGGATGAGAATTAAGAAGGCAGCAAGAGTCACTATAGCCCTGATCTTCTGCAAACTTAAAGTTCACAGTAAGTTAAACATCTCAAACTTAAAGGTCTATTTTACAAAGTTTTTTTCAGCATCGACTACGTGCCCCTCAAAAATTTCTTCTTCAGGCAAATGATAGCAGTTTAAAACCTATATCTCTCTAATTGTTAGAGCTATGACCCGTCCTTTCACATGTAATTAGGTTGGGTCAGGCTGCGAACCAAATTAATATCAAGTCGAAAACTATTTAAGACCACGAAATCAAGGGTTTTGTTTGACAATTCTAAGATTGCCCAAATCCTGCTAAGTCAAGTCAACTTAGCAATTCAATCGCCAGAAAATTCCTCCATTTCTTCAAGCACATTAAAGTCAACTTAAACAGGTTTGGCCCAAGAAATTTGCCCCTTTCAGATATTGGCTTCGGTGACATGCATGTCAAAGTTTTCATATCGTACAGCAAAACAGCTTTTGAAGACACATAGGAGGAGGAAGTCATTCGGAAGTTGTTCTCATATACATACTCACATGGGGTAAGTGCTAGATAAAGGTAAAACGTTGAGGTCTTCTTGTTTCGTTTTATTAGACATTGGTGGGTAAAATCGTGTGGCCCTGGCTGCAAGAATAAAAAAAAGTATAAGATCATCAGTTTCAGATCAATTTATTAAATACCACTACATTTAAACCATTTAACACATTATTATTGTCAACGATAAACCGGAAGCAACTTAATATTAAAACTTCAATCTCTCTTCAAGAGATGACTAAAAACCAGCTATACCAGAAGCAGAAAAGAAACAATCTTCATATATCATTCTCTTTTCCCTGTAAGAACTATCATTGAAGTATAACAATAATCCGCCATAAAATCCCTAATTTCTTCACTAACAACATTACCGGTTTAGATTTTAGTTCTGCTAAATGGAGACATAACTTTATGGTAGATTTCATAAAATTTATTGCTTTTCAGACAAAACAAAAGATTCAAAACAATATATGAAATACAAATGGCTGGGTACTTACGGGCAAGAGCATATATAACTACCAAATGTTTGGTATATTTCAAGGCATGCACCTTCTTAACAATGCACTTCAAATTTTACTCACTTAGTTCATAACTATGCCAATTCGCTCTGATCACAGGCAAACCCCGCTATGACTTTGCGAACCATAAAGATTTTAAACTACCTAGTCCTTGATCTTGCGATCATCCAATAAAATCACTTATAATTTCAGACTTCAATCGTAAATTTCATTTTGAAACCAATCACGATATCATTATCAAAGGGGAAAAATGTTGAGCTAATCCTGCAAAAGAATACAAATGCGGTGTCTCAAAGGATGAACCTCCTTAAAAATGCACATTCTTCGAAAGTCAGTCGCTTTTTTCGGATCTGATCACAGATGAACCCCATTATGACTCTGCAACCCATTAAAGTTTCAGATTTCTACAGCGAATTTCAACACGTCTTTCGAAAACTGCATGATGATCTTCCACCAAAATAACAATTTTCCAAACAATCCTGATCGATCTCCTCAGAACTATTCAAATTCCAGATTACACAAACTTGCTTAACCTAAATTCTCCTAAAAAGTGAATAAACAAATCGAAAACTATATCGCCAAAGGGAATACCTGTTTAAGGCACGAAGGGAAGGTGATTTTTCCACTGTACGAAGGCGACCGCGCGATCTCCTTGGTGATATCCCTCCACCGCTTGCAGACACAGGCACAAGCGACCACGTTTTGGCGGTGAGGCCATTTGTCCTCGCTAGCCTCCACTCTCCGTATGATCTCGCCGAGGAGCTCCGGGAGCATAGCCGACCACGAAGACGACGACGAGTCGGGACAGTCTGCGACGCGGTCCAACTCGGCCGCGTCTCGGACGACTCGGCCGTCCCCCCCACGCGCCTGATCCTCGTCGCCGAACAATTCCCTGAACGATTTGGAGAATTTCCGGGAGAGAAAGGCTTTCCGCAGAGCCATAGCTTCGAATTGGGGCTCTAGGGTTAGGGTTAGGGTTCCGATCTCGAACTCATTGCGAAGGAGAAGCAGTTTTTTTTGGGTTTGGAGAGAGAGAGAGAACGAGAGTGGTAGGGGTTGATGGTGATTGAGAAACTGAATTTTGATATCGGGACGAGGCTGTGACGGGTGAGGTATGGGAGGCCAGTGCATAGCGAGGAGCGGACGCGTGGCGACAGATGGAAAGAGGCGTTGGGTGACGTGGGGGTGAGGTTAGCGGTGTTGTGAACGCGTGGTGGGCGTTTGACTGGGGCTATTAAATTTAAACGTAACCGCTGAAAGCCGGTAATGGCACGGCAGAATACTGTCAGTCAGTAACCAGTGACGGCCAGTTATTGCTTGGACTTTGTTTACCTGTCTCTCCGATTAGATTCTGAATCCCTGTCATCAAATTCAACAAGTTTGAGAATTTTCACGATTGAAATTTGATTTAATAGATATAAACAGATGTCTATTTTAAAGTTATAATAACTTTAACTGTTCGATGACATTTTAACGGTTCAGATCCCCAAATTTAATGGATTTGGTGAAACCGTCCCTTTCCTCTCCAATTTACTCTATATTTTGTAAGGGGTGTGCTCACACTCATATTTTACTTCTCTCACACCCTTGATAATTTTTGTCCATTGATCTTATTCAATTCATCTGATCCGACGATTGAAAATTAAAAATATATGTGAGAAGTAAAATGAGATGTGTGGATATCACATCCCATTTTGCAATAATTGGAAAACAGTGGTTTCGGTTCTTTTTAATTGATATATGTCATTTTCCTGAATCATCATGAGATAGTATAATGGTAATGGATAGTAATTCAAACGGAAAATCAGTATCAATAGTATAATCTAAATCATACATTAACAAAGTTTTACTAATCAACTAAAATTTCATAAAATTAACATTCTAACTTTCTCATTAAAATTAAACAAAAGTTAAAAAAATGAGCAATTTGGTAATTACATGTAAAGCAATTTTTTTTAATTACACAAAACCCACACCTTGGTAAACATAACACACTCTATTTAAATTTTAAAATTTAAATAAAAATAGAGAAAGTTTTTTATAATACAACTAATTTTAATTCAAAGATGAGCTGCCTGAAAATAATCAGGTCACGCAAAATATAAGTAAAATTAAATCGTCTCTAATAG